AACCTGTTTCTGTTGATGTCATATAAAAACCTGATTCAAGTGTTGTCAATATTGCATTATTTGAACCACCAACAATTGCATTTTGAATCATATTACATGCACAAATAATTATAAAAATAATTTTAGCTGATAATGTAACTGAATCAGTTTTTGTTGTCGAAGAATCAACAATGACACCATCATCCTCATCTTCATTTTGATTCATTTTTTTGTAAATATAATATAAGTCGTTACATAATAATCATATCTAAATATAAAACAAAACAAAACAAAAAACATTATTTAGAATTTCTTCTATCAAGAAAAAAGAAGAAATACTGGATTTGTAATTAACTCTAAATGTATATACGAATATATACACAATAGTCGACCTTTTGTACATTCGTTTGAAAGAGAAAAGAAAACAGAACTGAATAAGAAAGATGATGTTGAGGTGAACACAACGATCGATGAATGAAGATAGAAGAAAAACTTCAATATAGTTACTATTCTGCTTTGCATTCAACATGACGAGTAGTAGATTATGACTCACGCGATCGAATGAAATAGAAGGGCGTATTGTCAGCTGTTTTTCTCATCCATTATGATAGACGTTGTTCTTGTATATTGATGGCGTGAAGCTATAGTTTACACTTGGTGTGATTTTGTATGCGTGTAATCGAGCGATTCATGATAGCAATGGTGGGTCTTCATTGTATGTTATTGTAAATGTCAAAATGTTTTTTTTTTTCTATCGTTACTACAGTGTTAGTCTATTTCTTTCTATCTTCTATTTCTTTTTTTGTTGGTTGTTCACATGCCAAAAGTGTCATCACATCGTCGTCCGTAGGAAATTCTGTCTAAGTCGAAGAAAGAGAGAAAGATTTTTAAAAGTGCAAGCATTGCCATAATCAAACATTTCTTCCTTGCCATTCTTCATTACTTTTTCTCCTCCCTTTTTTTTCCTACGTTCGTCCTTTTCTCTCTTTCTTTTTTTTCTTTTTTTCTTCTCTTCGTTAGATTCACACGAGACAAATAATAATAGTCGAGCTACTACTCTATACTAATGCTTTGCATCTCGCCCTCTCGTTATTTCGTCGTTAGAGACCAATGAAAATCTTCTTTTTCTTTTGAGACAACATCGAATGCTTACTAGGAAAATAGAAATATAAAAAACAAAAAAAAAACGATGGAAAGAATAATAAAGAAAACTTGTTAAAATTGGAAAATAAATATACATAAATAAATATAATCATCCCATATGTAAAATTTTTAATGAAAAAATTGAATGAATATATATATATATATATTCCCATTGATCATAATAAACGGAACACACCTTTTCCTTGCATTCATTATTCATGTAAGGAAAGTACTTCCCTTATATGAACAATGAATGTGAATAAAAGATATACTCTGTTTATTATGGTTGTAGTGATATGTATATGTATTCTATCATTCTGTACTCTAGAGAAAACAGAAAAATGATTGCTTACAAGTCTTTTGCATGTATTTTTTATCGATATATCGATCAAAGTAAAGAAGGAAGAGAAAAAAGTAAAATACGAACATTGCTATTTGAAAATTAAGAATGTTAACGATCAAAGAATTGTGCGCAGTTGTTTTTTCGCTTCTGTGTTTTTTACTTAATGAAGCTAATCAAAAAAGAAAGAATAGAGTATTTATGATACATTGATCCTACCTTTTATATTCAACAAGAAAAAATAATAGCATCTACATCTCTCTGGGAATGTCAATAGATAAAAGGGAATTGAAGCAGAAAAACTAATCTTTTTCTTCTTCTTCTTCTTCTCTTGTTTTATTCTCATATCTTTATATGCACTCTCATCATCATGTCCATTTAAATATAATAGGGAACTCGTCGTACTAGAAAATAGCATTGCATGCAAAACGCAGCAAGTAACTCACATTCTTCATCATAAAAATCCAAGACTGTAAGCACACACACACGTTTGCAAGCATGCAAAGATGGATTAATGATGGTACCGTGTATTTTATATTCCTCTCTCTCTCCCTCGTTTTTATCATCTATCATATACACATATGAGATCAATGTGTTACTAGCCATTAGATTAGATCATTTTTTATTATAATATGTAAGCAAAACAAAAAAAAAAAAGTAATTTGTTATAATGTTAACAAGAAGATGAAAAAAGTTATGAGTATAGTCGAATAATAATAATAATGATGACCTTCAAAAACCAAAAACAAATATTCTTTTACATTATAAATAGAATTAAATTAATTACCTAATAAAGATACACCATCATTACTACGGTATCCACCTTTAATAAAAGAGAAAAATTTAAAAAAAAAAACAAAGATCGAAACCAAAAAAAAAAGAAAGGAAAAACAATTAATTTACAAGGTGCAGCAACATATCTTGGATCATCACATCGAAGTCGATGTGGATTCCATTTTGATCCTATTGGACATTCATCCATTTTAATTTTACGTTGTTCTGTACATAAATAATATGAACGACATTGATTTCCATAATCAGCATACCAACCATTGGGTTGACCCAAACCTTAATTAAAAATATTTTATGACAAAAGAAAATAACAAAAATTTTACATGGATCATTTCCACTTTGATCTGTTGGTCGATTTCCACAAAAAACTTTTCGATAATCATTACATGAACGAAGATATTCATCAAATAAATGTTTATCAGGACATTGTATATGTGTTATTATATTATCTTTACATGTAAAATAAGCTAAATAAAAGAAAATAAACTATTCAATTAAATATAATTGTGTTTTTTTTTGCTTCTCTACATTGACAATTATATTGATCAGGTTTATTTCCTTGAAATTTACATGGATTATTTTCAATAAGATCATTTTTTGGTACAAATATTCTATTGTATGCTAATCTATTTGATATAAGTGTTGTTAATTTAATTGTTGTTTTATATTGTTTTTCTATTTTTATTTCATCATTTGATAAATTAGGCGTAGTTGTTATCATAATATGATCAGTATCAGGTTCTGTTTCAACTAATTCATTAATTAATTTAATAATAATAATAATAATTATTATTATTATAGAAAATATTTACATACATTCTAAAGATAGTATTCGTTTAGGTCTTTCACCATTTCTACAATCAATATTTTTTGGTAGATCACATCGTCCATGTTCAACATCATAGGTCATACCATTTCCACACCTAGAATGTTTGGTTTTTTTTTTCTTCTAAAGATTAAATGTGAAATGAAAAGAAAAAAAAAAATTATTTTTTATATTGTTTCCGTTTTCATTTCCGTTAATGATGAATTATATTTATATTTAGATTTTTTTAATCGGTATGATTATTTTCTCAAGTTTTTTTTTTTTGAATGATGAAAGAAAGAAAAAAACAAAAGGAAATGAATGATTCAGTATATAGTTACCATGCCTCAACACCAATGCCTGCATTACATGTATAAAATCTATTAAAAAAAACCATACACCAAATGTATATCTATTCACATTTCTATCTCACTTTTCACAATCAGCTGGATGAGGCCACCGGCCATTTTTAGGACAGATAAATCCATTATTATCTGTGATAACATCTAAAATAAATTTCTCTATTGATTAATTTTTCAAGAAAAACCTACTTTGAATACTCAACAAAAAGTACAGAATATGACCAATAGATAAATATCTATAAAACATTTGCTTTTTTTTATTTTTTTTGTTTTGCTTGTAAGTAGTAAAAGTATCACTTTTGTATTTTTTGTTCAATTGTGATATAAGCTCAAGTTAAGTAAATATTTTGACTCGAAAGATTTATTATTGATGATAAGAACAATGATCAACGAGTGAACGACAAACAAAATATGTAGTTAAAAAACAATCGACATTCATCGGCTTACTCATTTTTATTTTTTTTTGTACAATCCATTTCGCCTACAAAAACTGTATAATATGAGGTAATCTATCAATGTATGTATGTATGTTCTATTGACAAAAGTACATCCGATTGTATGTTGTCCACTTGTTTACACAAACTATATGTATGATAGTATGTTGAAATATAGTTCACATTAGAAAGATTATGTGTTAAAGAGAACAATGAAGATATTATCTTTTATTAAATTTGAATAAACAAATCAAATTTAATGAAAGACGATCATCAATCAATATTCAAGTCAATAATGATAAAACTAGACTCTCTCTCTCTCTCGTCCTTCCGTAGTTATAATAGATAATTTCATCAGTCATGTTCTTTCCTTCCTTATATTATGACATATTACAATTAACATATTGCTTTGCACATCACCATATATAATGACAGTATGTTGATAATTCACGAGCCTTGAAATATGATAAATTTTTGTTTTTGTTTAATCTGATTGAAATATTTAAATGCTTATTTTCAATATAATTCTCAGAATTGTGTTCTTGTGAAATATGATCTAAAGGAAGTGTTGAAGTGTAGGAGTAGAATTTTGAACCTTCCTCTCGCAGACGTGACAGAAATTTGCGAGTTCAAGTCCCACTACGGGATTAGTATAGTAGTTGTCTGTTATTTTTCTTTTTCATACTCATTGCAATATATTGCCATTCATATGTTGTATTAACAATAGGTAGGAATTCATAAACCAAAATATATATTGATTAATCTTCTCTTTTACAATACCAGCAGCTTCATCGTGTTTCACATTTTAATCCTACAGGGGTTGTGCTAACAACATTTTTGTTTTCTTTGTTATAAAAATATTCAAAAAAAAAACTGAAGAACAAGTCTTTTCTTGTTCTTCGTTTTCAAAAATCAAAAGCAATTACAACATGTTTCTTCTAATGAAAAGAGTAATGTTATACAATCAAAATACATTTATTTTCCATTAACATTTGTTTTTTTTCATATTTGTGAAAGACATAAATGTACTTCAAGAAGATGAAAGAAAAAATAAACATTGAATATTTGTTTCAAACATTCAATTTAAAAGCATTCATTTTCATTTCATTGACATCATTCAAACAACTGACTTACAATAAATAAATATGCCAACGATTGATTTTACTGGATGTTTATCAACTTATTGGTTCGTCTGGTAAGTTTAATAAATAATTAGATAAAATAATAGAACTTCGGTTCGTTTTTTCTTAGGTCAATAAATGGCTTTGGTTCAATATTGGGTCTTACAATAAATATGATTGTATCATTTGTCTTTCTAAAACATATTGGTAATTTAGCGAAGGGCAAACCATCGGTACCAAAAAATCGAAAAAAAGATTTTTCCATGTATCGTAATACTTCACCGACTTTTGACACACCTGTTGATCCGTGGGCGCCTGATCCCACTATGGGAAATATATTTGCTACGTCAAATGTTTAGTGGGACTAACATAATGATCAAACAAGAATGTCGATAATTTTTTTTTTTGGCCTTGTATTATCAACATGATACATTGTCTGATATACTTTTATCAGACGGACTGTTTGACATTTTGTTGTTTTTTTGTATAAGTAATAAAGATTAATATCGAAGATATTATTGATAACTCTGATGGTCTTTTTATATTGCATTATATATATATACAATAGAAAACATTGAGACGTCATTATATTCCTTATTGTTTTATGTCAATTATAATTATGTCAATAGAAAACGTATGTTATCATTTAAAGATTTGAATAACTAGACTGTCAAATAATGACATATTGATTAAGATAAATATTGACAGACCAATTACGAGATTGTAAACTGAATGAATTACTGAGATAAAAAAAAACATTAGCTATTATTGTTAGAAAGATTTGTTAATATTTTCTTATGAATTAAAAAGTAAGAAATAATGAAACAAAATGATAAAATTATGAAATATTTAGTATAATTTTAGAGAAGTAATCTTAAAATTTTATTTATTGTAGAAATAAAATATTAATTATAGAAAGTTGACCAATCTATAAACTACATAATTTCTTAATATTAAAAATCTTCCTACCATGTATTGGTAGTCAATAATTTCGAATTCATTCATATCAATATGTGAAATTATTTTCAGACTTCTTTTAATTCGATAGACTTAATAATAGACGATAATTGTAATGTTTTATTTGATACTACTCTTTTTTTATTAAATTTGTTTTTCTTTTAGATATCTATTTCATAGAATATCCTATTCGTCCTTTTCGAAGTAGAAAGTCAACGTTATGTTGATGCAATGATAGATCATATCATTCCTACTAGTTTTCTTTATTACTAATATGTAAAAACTTCCTCGCAATCTGTCATATATCAATTATCCTTATCACTTTCTACTGCCTTCCATTAAATATTGCAAAATGAAGAAAACAACAACAAGATATATAATTCCATGCTCTTTTTCCCTGATCTTTAGTTGATCAAATCGTTTTTGAAAATATATTTCTAGTAAATTTATACATAAATCATGGATATTTATAGCACTATTAACATGAATATTATCATTGCGTATTTTTTATCTCGAATATCAATAAACTTAACAGATTCATGAGAGAAGTTCTCTAACTGATTAATCGTTTTTGAAGCGAGAAGCATATGCATCATGTAGACTCTAATGTGTTATGAATACCTCAACAAAAATTCGGGACCATAACTTATGGTTGTTAGCATAGTGCATTTTTACGATATTTTCCAATATAATGCCGTAGTCTATCTAAGAAACATCAGGAACACTGATTTTCAAATGTGACGAGAGTAGTTAATCGTAAAAATATCAGACTATTTGATCTGTTTCTATCCTTAAATAGGAACATCGAGTCTGCAAGTGTAACATGAGTGACAATATCTTATGATAGAAATAACGGAAATATCTAAAACTTTTACAATCAACTATTCTCGTCAGGACTTGTTTCTATGTAAAGTTTCAAGTCGAAATTCGATAATCAATTTTCTTGGTGTTCCTGAGAGAAACCATGGGATTGCATTGAAAAATCCGATACATGTACTTAAACACTGGAGAGACAGAAGACAAGAAACAAGTCATATTTATGTTAAAGGTATACCTTATAGATCTATTAAGTATAGATTGTTTATGACGGTTGTTCTTTTTCTTTTTGATTAATAGGACAATGACAAAATGTCTGATGTGACAATCAAGTCTTTTGGGTATTTAGATCGCTAAAAATTTTAATCGGTAATGTAAATGTGTTACCGTTTATAGGTAATAATAATAAACATGTTTACATTAGACTTATTCAAATGAAACTTTGAATCTTATATAAATTTTTATGATTTCGTATTGCGATAAAGATACCTATTACATTTAAAATTCAATTATAGAAGATAAGAATTTATGTATTCAAATGTGATCGTTCTCACTATTTTCTATTTGTAAATTCAACAATTTTGATCGCATCTATATTGTATTGAATAATTAAATTAGACGCATAAAACTAATAAGATACAATTTCATATCACAAAAAGAAAGAATATTTGATGATGTATAGAAGTCGATTAATTCTCAAGGTTAGACATACGATTAGATTTATAACAGAAATTCATTTGCATATTATATTCACTATGTGTTAATATGTCTCATTGAATAATTTTAAATGTTGATTAAATATTTTATTTGATTTAATTTCTATTAGAAATTGTATGTGCAATGTCATTTTTTACTTCTAGTATTATCTTTTTCGACTTCTTATACAATATCATAAGAAAGAGTATTTAAATATATACAATATGAAATAAAAATTCGATATAATTTTTTTTGTTGTTGTTGAGATATTCATGACATGTTGAATCATATAAAAAAATGCAAATCTTTATAATCCTTCCTATTTTAAGAATGTAATTGAAAAATAGTCGACTAAGCTCGCCCACATAATTGAGTTCAATGAAAAGCATTTATACAATTTAACATAGTTATGATGGAATGTTTCATATAAAATTAATATTCAGTTGTTTCGTCAAGGTCATTTTAAAAGATCATTAGTTTTGTATTTTTTTTTAATTGACTTGAAATCTATAACATATATCAAGCATTATAAAATACTTTGATAAGACAACAAAGTATTTAGACAAATGTAGACTATAATTCAACATACTATTCGAAAGAACTAATATGAATGTCTGACAAGGCTATCGTTATTTTCGATCAAATTATAGTATATATCATCCGGACTGAAATAAATAACATGCAAAATATTTTCAATTTATTTTTCATAGTATTATCATTTGGTTTCATAGTTATAATCCAGATGCATATTAATTGAAACAAAAAGTTTGTTATCATGCTTGTCTTACTAATAGTTATTAGTTTCATTTTGAATTTTTTGTATAGTATTTTGGTACCTTTTAGCATTATATATATATCAGTTGTCCTGTAGTTCTCATTGCGAATAGTCATCACTATAGAAGTAATCGAATGAAAATAATTGTTTTGAAGTCATGCTCGTGAGAAAATAAAATGAAACGTACTAAAGAAGGATTCTTTTAGTTTAGAAATCTTATTGGAACCTTCGTTCGATAGACTATTGTTAATTTAATTCTGCATGTACGATTATTGTCTGGTATTGTACTGTGTGATTCACTATGCGATATGAAAGTTCAGCTGAAATATATTTTCATTTGCAATCTATTGCTAAACGGTACAAAGCTACTATGTAAAAGTTCAAACGAAACTAACAAATGTGCACTTTTCTCAATAAATCTTTTGCTTTTTAACGATGAAAATCATAGAATAGACCGAATGATAAATGATGTATGTGTGGTACAAGTCAAGTGATGATATCATGAAAAATAAATTGGAAAAAAATTAAGTGTGTCATTTATTTTGACTAACGAAAAATATGAATCAATTTCTGTTTCAGAAATGAACTCTTAAACTACTAAACATATCATTCTCGTGCTATTCATTACATTATCATTAGTCTTTTATATACGATTATCTTCATCGTTATTAATTATGAATTCAATTTCGAATAATCTACTATTAATGAATAAGAATATATATATATATATATTTGATAGTAATATTCAATTGACAATGACTTTTCGGAAAAAGCTTAATCATGTTGATTATAGTACACCTTGCTAGCATATATCAAGTAATCTAAAGATTTTATGTATTGAATTATTGACGAATTCGAAGACTAAACATTCACTATTTGAAAAAATAGATATTTCAGAAAAACATATTTACAATGTTCAATCGTAATTATTTATTTCTTTCCCTTCTTCATACTTCATTTAAATAAGTGTAAAAACACAACGATTCAAAGCACTTGAGTGTCATAAAAGAATATATTTTCAATGTCATGAAATGTCTTTTTTCAATTAATAGGAAGAAAATCGTCTAATAATGGTGACAAAATAATACTTTTGATGATGATTTAATAATTCAAAGGCATGTTTATTTTTACACTTTTAATGCTAACTGTAAATGAGAATCGATATAGAACGTCCAAAAATGTTTTTCTAATAGATCGTCTGTTTGACTATTATCATATTTATTTATTCATAATCATTTTAATATGATACCATATTGACAAGTTTAATTATTAATCTTAATGTAAAATTAGTATTCGTTATTCTATCAAGAATATTGAGTACTTCTTCAGATAAGAGACACCCACATTTCTCTGTTGTTCTCTATCAATTAGACCAATTAGCATATAAATTGTTGTCGTAGATTTTTATAAGAGCTAGATTTTATTTATCTGTTCATTACTATTTCTAAGTAGAGAGCATCCGGCAATTATAAAATCTCCGTATACATTCGTACAATAATATTTATTTAATTGTGAGAAACTAATATTATTGAACTATTGATTATCTGTTTAAATAAGCATGGTTGCCCACTATCACTTACTGTTGTCGTTTCTTTTTGTCTATTCTTTCATAGATGTTAATATGATAAAAATAATAAAAAACTCTTTCATTGTTATTTTTTTACATCTATGGAAGAATAGACAAAGAGAATCGACAGTAACAAGCGATAGTAGACAACTATGCTCATCTAAACAGATAATCAACGGTTGAATAAAATTAGTATTTCACAACGAAATAAATATTATTGTACGAATATATGCGGCAGGTTCTATAATTTTTCGGTACCCTGTATAAACAATAGATAGATTTCTTTTAAAATTATAAACTTTAATATAATTTTTAAATATTTTCATCTAAATTTCATAAGAATAAATACATTTGATGATGACGTCTATGTCTGTAAGCATACTTGTGTTTTTTTTTCTTTGTGTCATTAGTAATAAATATCAAAGATACATTTTCATTGCATGTCATATTAACTAGAGAATAAAAAAAAAATAAGTGCATTGTTGCAATGCCTACACAAATCTAATATTATTCAGAATTGGATTAAATTGACCTTTTTCTTGAACATAATACTTTATTTGTCTAGACTAATTAATTTTCATTTCATAAGAAGAAGCTTGTCAATCTTCAATGAATAATTTCGAAAAAATGATTTCGTTTGTAGTGTTTTATTTTTTTTTCATATTTTGAAGAAAGAAAATATCTTACGTTATAAGAGATTCATTGATATCAATTCTTATAAGAAAAAACTCATGTCAACATAGGATTGATTTTATTTAATCTCTTTAGTCAATAAAAACTAGATTTTGCATGTTTTGATGACAAATGCAAAATTAGAATATTATTATTGATACTCAATGTCCAGTAGCATATAGCATTTGAACAGCATATTTTAGACAAAATTGTCGTGCCTGACCAGATTGTCGACAATACCGATAGAGAATATTTGCATTACGTTGTGAACGTTTGGCAAACAATCGATCTTTTTCCACGAACGACGATAATTGCAAATTTGATGGGGTTTGTTTGATATTTTTTGATGGATTTAATATTATTTTAGAATCAATGGAATAAACAAAAGACTAAAATCAATAAATAAATAAATAAAAAGAATCAATTCTTTTTTTTTTTTTTAGCATAAGATTTACTGTCGAGATGGTAAGCATTAAGAATACGACAAACAGGCACCATAACTATAAAATAATATTCAGATGATTTGATAATAAACTATTTTGAAAGGATAAAATCTATTTACTTTCATGATCATTTATTACAAATCGTCGTAAACTTTAGTAATGGTTAGATGCGTTGAGATGTCTTTGTTATTTCTCATCTTGTAACACGCACAATATGATAGATCTATTCCTTTTTCTTTTTTTTTTCTTTTTCTTTCTTCCTCTCTTTTTATTTGGTACTTTCTTCAGTTTCTTTGTTGGCTGATGATGTGATGTTACTTTTCTTATGATTGAAGCCGACAGTAGTAATGAAATCAAATAAGAACAATGATGTTAAATCAAGAGTTCAGATGTCAAATAATGCATGTCTCATATCATATTATTGTAACATAACTTTCATACTGAAAAAGAAACTAATAAAAACCACGATCATTTGTTCTATAAATCGATGTGTCGACTCTCTTCAAACGATGTTTCCTTTCAAATAGTATTGCATTATCATTTTGAATATTACTATATGTACTTAATTGTTCTTCGTATAAATGAAAATAAAAAACCGATATATTGTACATTCTCATTGAATGCTACTCCTTCCTTCTTTTATTCCAATATAGCACTATGTACATACTCGAAGAAAATCTAATTATCTGATTTACTTAATGTTTTGTTTTTTACAATCAACTTCTGGTTTTATTGCTTAAGACATATAGATACACGGATTAGTAAATAAAGATAAAACTGAGTAATGATGATGAATGAATAAGGAAGAACCGCAGAAAAAGGAAAACAGGAAGAAAATGAACAAATGCTTGTTGCCTATATTACACATAAGTGAGTGTCTTCCTTGCCAACATCATTCTTATTTTGTATCTTCAATATAAAGTGCATATGTCATCTTTTAATGAGATTCAGTAGAAACATTCAGTAATTATTTGAACTTTTGATAAATCATTTAAGAAGATTTTTCTTTTTAGAGATTTTATATTTCTATAAACAAAAAGAAAACATTAATGCATGTTAAAAACCTAGTGTTCATATTCAAATGGATGCATTATCCGATTGGTTTCAAGTCAATACTCTAGCGAATTTCCAAGTGAATAACAATTAGATAAAATCGTGCTAAATACGAAGGACAATTGCGCTCGTGCTTTGAAGACTAAACGATAATTATTATGATGGATTGAGTTTTTTTAAATACTATATTTAAAAAAAAAGTAATCAAATATTATTAGGTATCAATTGAAAGCCTTCAGAAACCATTTTAAGATAAATTTCATATTCCAATAAACAAAAAACAAATGTCAAATAGAGCGAAATCATATATATATATATATACATTAAGTATATACATTTCTATTTGTATTACTCTTGAGACCAAATATAATTCATTGTCAAAAATCTACACAAAAAAATACAAAATATTTATTCTAGACAGACGACACATAATATAGGTTAATGGCATAGAATTCTTTTGTTAACGTAAAATCGTTTCAAGAAATCTGATAAATGCTTTTATAAAAGACAACCGGTTTTATTATGCATAGCAATCATTGTAATGATTTTTTACTAAATAAATATTCGACGAGAAAAAAATTATAGAATTAATAAATACTTTGTCGAATAAAGAGTTTTTCAATTGCGACAATATTCTATTAATCTGCTACATAGTATAATTTTTCTCCTTGAAATTTCATTATTGAAGCTTCATAATTCTTTTCATCTGGATTTGCATAGTATGGATTATATATGTACATGAAGTACTTAAAAAAAATCTTATGTAATGAATATACTCAACTGATATAGTCATATCAGAGCTTCGTTATCATTACATATTTCATAAATAATATCTGACTCGATGTACATGTCTTGTTGTATTATCTAATACTTATCCACCAAACAAATCCAAAGTCAACTATCCGTCCAGAAAATTTCTGATCCTATCATGGATTAAACTATTCAGTTAAAAAAATCTTCTGATCTATGACAAAATTATATTTGATATTTATTTTATTATTGATAATAAAATAAAATTTCTATGACAACATTTATTTCGTTTGTGTTCAAAATTTCTGTTTTGCTACTATTCTCACATTTTATATTAAAAAAAAAAACAGACAAAAATACAATTTTCATCATGATAATTCTTAATTCTAATCGATGAATAAAAATATTTAAACGAATATGTCAAATATACAATCAATGAATGTCGATAATCAAAATTCAATGTCAACAATTGATAAACAAATAATTGATTCATCAAATCGAAATCATATTGATACAAATAAACATTATATGATTAAAACAACAAATTGGACAGAACGAATTAAAAATTATTTTATTACTAATGATGGTCGAATAGTATTAGCTGATTTTTTTTTTACATTATTATGTGTTATTCTTCAACATATTATGGGTACATGTGAACATTCAATAAGTAATGGTACGACAGTTATTAAATGGTGTGTTTTTACTCCACCATGTATGTAATTGAATTAATTATAATAAAAAAAAAAAAAAAAAGATTATTATAATTAATCATTAAATTTTAGTCGGAGCTGGTCCACATACAGCTGTTTACTTTTTTGTTCTTTCATGGATAACTTTAGTTTATTGTATTGAACGTATTTGGATTTATTTAATAACGGATGTACGTACATCGAAAAAACGTGATCTTATTGTACATGGAATAATTGTTATTTTATATTTTATTGCATTGGGTTTTAATATTTGGGGTAGATTGAATATTTATAGAAATTTTAAAAAAAGTTTTTTTTTTTTTAGGTTATGTTCTATGTGAAAGTACAAGTCAACTAAATACATCGAAAACTTTTACACCAGGTGTTTGTCGAGGAGATAGTCAAGCATGGTAAAAAATAAAAAAGTTGATAATTGATTTTTGTATATGAAATATTGTCTATTTTAGTATTCCATTGATTGCTGGTGTTTTAACATCATGTGCAGCTGCTTGTGCATTTTTTTCTGAACATATAGTTGCTTTAATGAAATGTAAAATATTCAAGATATATTCCTATTAATAAAAATACTTTTTGTTTTTCTTTTTGATTTAGTATTAAGAAATCGTCAAGAATCGAATGGTTCGATATCAAATCGAATTTTACTTTAATTCTCATTGATGAATATTTTTTTTTCTTTGTATGTGTTTTCTTTTTCTCGAGAAATAAAATTAATAAATCGAATATGTATTTGTTTGAACAATTAATTTAAAATTTGTATTTTATTTGAAAATAATGAAATTTGAAGCATTATTGATGAAATAAAATTTTATATATGAGAAGTCAATTTAATCTAACTTTTAATATGATTTAATCAATCAGAAAAGCTATTAAAGCTTTTTTGTATGTGTACTTATTCTTCACAAGTAAAATAGTTTTTTATAATAAAAATGTTTTTTTTTTTGTTCGATGCTAAATATAAAACATTCAAAAATAAATATGTTTGTTTATAACTAGTCGTCAGTTTCTTAATAATTTAATGTTGAAGGAACGTTCTAAACTATTCAATGGCTTTTCACTTGAGACTATTGTCATTCAATCGATCATGATAAATAATGAAAAATTTTGTTTTAGTTTGGTTTTCTAGTGTTCGCTTGTTGAATTATGAGTGTTTTACTTGATTTTCGTTCTCTAAGCATAAGATTGTTGAGAATTTGAATGATAGAGTTTAAAGCTGAAATTTTGTTTATCGATAGGCTTTTTAGTATCTCAAATTGTGAACTACGAAAAACGTATCCGTATCAAGATATTAACTTGTCATAACAACGTGTTTCTTTTGAAAAAATGCGATTCTCTACTCATAGGAGAAAATTTGAGTAAAACGTTCATAACTCAATAGGCGAAAGCCGGAAAATGAAAATCAAAACAGACTTTTCCACTACTTATCAAGATCAATCAAATGGCAATAATCTCAAGTGAAAAGTGCTTTGACAGTTGGAAACATTTTCTCATCAGATATTTATATACAATGATGCTCGAAATTGATCATACATCATACATCAAATTATAACGACATATTAAGATTAAAAATCCTTGTGACCGAGAAGTTGCATATTTTCTACACTGAAAACCAAGCGAAAATTCTTTAAGTAATTTTTTTTTTGCAAATCACAGACTGAAAACGAACTGAATCCGAACATATTTTTAAAAAAAATAATCAATCGATGATTGAACGATCATTAATGTGGAAAAAATGTAATGCCGTCAGCAAAGAGTAAATAAATTTTTATTGCTTATTTTTATATATTTCATGTAATGCAGTTTTTTCTTTCTACATAGCACTCATACTAATTGTGTTTATGACGATGTGCCATAGTAGATAAACTGTGAAAACGGGATTACATTTTGATCAAAATTGCAACACAATCTGTTGAAATCATCTTGAGATAATTAAAAGAATAAGGCGACCGACTAGGCTCACCGCTGTACATAAAGTTATCTGTTTATTCTTTTTGTCATATATATAATAGTTCATTGAATAGAATAACATCTGTAATTGACGGCGTCTGCCTCTTAATATATTGTAGCATGCATTAATTAACATATGCTTTTCATCAAAATCTACAAGCTTGATTCATTTACCGTAAAACAGTTACACAGAGAACCTACTGACATATGTTTTAATCAATGATTTTATTATATAGTTTTTTTTACATAAAAGAATTTGATGTCGAATATATCTTTTCTAAATAATGATTTTATTTAAAAAGTAAAACATATGAAAGTAAATGAAATAAAAAAGCACACACCAATGAGTCTTTAATCAAATTAATAATAAATGGATGGAGATTAATTATGAATGCGAAAGAAAAGAAAAAAAAACAAACCTAATGTCAGAAATAATAAATCAATTCAAAAAAAAAATGACAAAGGACTCTGCCGGATTTCATGATCCATCTCGAACCAGGATGCCATATATATGGTTTTGTAGAGCTCGTTGAGGCGTATCGAATGGTATATAAGAAGACTAGTTTTCATCATACTTTGATGTCCTTAGTGTTCTAACAGTGGTTATAGGACTTAATGGATATTATATGTATGATGAAAACTAGTCTTCTTATATACCATTCGATGCGCCTCAACGAGCTCTACAAAATCATATATATGGCATCCTGGTTCGCGATGAATCATGAAATCCGGTAGGGTCTTTTCACCATTTTTTATAAATGTATACAATTGAAATCATCTAAAATGTTTTGTTTTCATCACAAATTTCGTTAGGTTTTTTTCTTAGTAATCTTTATGCTGCTGCAGGTAACTTTTGTTGTTGTTGTTGTTGTGCTATAGCATGAGAAAAATCAATTGAATATTTAATATTATCTGATGAATCTTTTAATGTGCGTAAATATTGAAGTGTACTAATATGTTTCGGTTCTTGTATACCTAATGTTGAACACATTGACGTTAAACCTTCAATACGAGCTATTTCAACACGTTTAAGTGCATCAGCTTTAGCACGTTCACGTTTTAATTGTGCTTGTGCGTCAGAAAAGGCAACAGATTGTGTTGCATTATTACGATATTGATTAACTAATATATCAGTTTGTTTTTTAACAAGAGCTTCTTGATTAATATATTCTTCTCGTTCTTTTTCTAAATCACGAACTAAACCAAGTAATCGTCGTTCCATAACACGTTCAGGTACATCAATATCTAGATTGAATTAAAATCAAAAGAATATTTTCGCAAGAAAAAAAAAAAAAGATAAGTCAATTATTTGTATTCTTTTTACCATGTAATTGAAGATATCGTACTTCAGCAAAAAAACCTTTTTCTTCTTTTGTACAATCTTTTTCACGTGGTTTACAAGCAACAACACATTGTTCATGTATTGGACAGTTTTTACAATTAAGTTTACATTTTGGAATACAACAAGATCCACCTAAATAATTCATATTTGATGTTTTTTTTTTATGTAAAAGAAAATAAAATTTTTCTTTACCTAATTGACGTTTAACACCAAGATATATTTCTCGCCAAATTTTTTCTCGATCATTTATAAATTCATCTGTATCAAAACGAGAACAAGTCGATATAATAGCTTCTTTAGCATTTGATACAATTATTGGCTCATAATAAATATCATATGCTGTATGAAGTAATGGAAGATCTTCTTTTATTAAAAAAAATTGAAATGTAATAGTCTACAAACAAAAACAAAAAACAAATTTTATACAAAAACTTTTATATATAACGGATGTGCCAGAATAAAATAGTCGTTTCTCTAACAATCCCTAGTAGTACTTCGCATTTGATATGACCTGTTATGACTAGAAAAAGTTTAGAAAGATTCCTCTTCATGCGCTATCTTGAACTGTTTATGGACAAAGTTGCAGATCAGAATTCGTTTGTTCGATTAGTACCATATTCAAGATACCAAAATTTCTCATGAGAAGTGTCTCATGGAATGGTTTTCTAGTAAATATTTTCTCAATATTGCGGTCAAAGTTTATTGACATGTCTGATAGATTCACAGTTCAATGTTCTACAAGTGCGTATCATAAGTGTTGCTTCATTAAATTCTAAACATGAAAATCATATAAATAATAGTGCGATGCTCCAAATATGTTTAACTTTCATAAATAGAAAATAGTTTGTTGACTATGTGTTCATAAAATTTTTCTATCAATACTTGTCGTGTAAATAAATTTAAAAATTAGCGATTTTCAAATTCTCAGAAAAATTTGCATAAGTCGATCAAAAAAGAGCAATGAGTCACTACAACTCAATTTTCTCTTTTATTTTGAAGAGAAATTCATAGTGCATTGAAGCGAAATGCTAGAATTTGAATAGAACTCTTTATTCAGATATATTACAAAGTTTTTGAGTGTTTTCAATTTAGTTTTAATAAAATAATATTTGTATCAAAATACTTTATTGAAATGAACTTTACTGTATATTATGAGAAAGATCGCACTTAACTATACTCCTAAATGTACTCTGTTGTGTTATTGTATTTTTTACAAAGTTGCTGAATTGTTCAGCAAAAACAACTTATGATAAGTTCTTATAGAGAATTGAATTGTAAGGTTTGACGATCAATCTTAATCGCAATATTTATTCCGGCACATCCATTATGTGTATAAATCTTTTTTTTTTTTATATAATTTACCAAATGAACTTCTAAATTATCAGTTGTAAAAACTGATATACGATTAAAATTTACATTATGTGCTGTAGCTTTAAATTTTTTAAAACTAAAATATTTCAAGACAAAAATAAATTTGAATAAAAATTTAAAATAAAATATTTTATTTACTGATGATCTGGTCCAACTAAATATCGTCCACCTTCATAAACACGATCAAGTTTAACACGTCCTGTTGAATGTCGACGTAGAAAACCATAATGATAATAATCAAGATATGAAAATGAAATGGGTAAAAGAATAATAAGAAGTAATATAGCTATTCCACCACCAATTACAGCCCACCAAAACCATGCAGGAAGATTTTCATTATTTGCCATTCTATCTATAAATATATATAAAAAATTTCTAATTAATATACAGGTAAATATATATGAATATGCTGTTGTATATCATTTGCTTGGATAAATAAAAGAAAATAAAAGAAAACAGAACATGTAAATATCCTTGATTTGATTTACATGGTTTTACTATACTTCACAAAAGAACAGCAATGTGCATATGTGATGAATAAACACGCACATATTACATGGGTAAAATGGATGATTAATTCATGCATGCTAGTGACCTAACTGACTAATTGGTCTTGCAAGAAACATTATACATAAGTAACCATTTGTTGTTATGGGATTCATGTCAAAGATTGACAAAAAAAGTTTCAATAGTTGTCACTAGTTATCGAACAAATCTTGTCAAGTAATTTGAAAAAAAATATTAACAGTTATAATATACAATTAAAATTCAATTTTACGGTATTCTTTTTTTTTTTTTGCTTTTGATTTTACAAAGTTATATTACGCTATTTCAAATACTTTATAGTTAAAAATAAAACTACTTATCAACTTTGACGTCTTTACACAATTAATCAAATACTATTTATATTCTTTCAATATTGTTTTATTTCTTATAATGAATCTGATTATTCTACACGAAGAATTTCTTTCTGTTTTCCTATACAAAGTCAAGTGAACGGTTCTAAGTGATATAAAACAAAGCTATTACATAGTCGTTTTCCGTAAGGCACTGAAAAAAATAGAAGAAAAGAACTGCTGTTTGACAGCAGTAAAAGCAACTCTTCAAATGAAGTAGACAAATCATGGTGAACACAAGTAAAATTTAATGCAGTAATACAACGTTTTATAGCCACTTTTGACTATCAGAATGATTGCTCTGGACAACTGTAATTATTAGTATTAAATACAAATCTCTAATCAGATAATACTCTTTAAAAAATGTGTTAGAACACCATTTTTACGCAAATTTTAGATATTATTATGTTTTCTAAGCAATTCAAAACGTTTAAATAAATTTGTTTCGTGAGATTAGTTAAAATGTTGAATCTGTAATTAATGTATTTGACGGTCGAGTTTTCTTAAAGTAATTTAAAGTTCTTGATTTTTCGTTTGACATTAATAAGTGACGAAAGTTGTAGAAGAGTATATGATTAACAAGGTAAATCATATTATTGAAAGAGAAAAATAAGCTTCACTATATAATACAACGAAAAAGTAACTACATTTTGTAAACAAAAAAAAACAAGCTTATTGTTACCGAACAGACACAATTAACGCGTAACTATCTTGCCATTTTCTCTAATACATCACTTTTCTGCCTATTTATTAGAACTGTATCTGTATATTGTGCATTATAGGATATTTTCGATGAATCACATACATAGTAACTTGTTTTTCGATTAGTCAAAGGAAAATTGTATAACATATTCGAAATGATATTTTCTAATTAGATAAGCGAAAAAAAGATTGAAATAAAAAATCACGTTTTTGTAAGTTATTTTTGCCTGACCTTTGTCGATAATGCATTTCAAGTTTTTATGAATCGTGATCTCTTTAGAGTCATATAATACATTGTATACTCTGGTTTTAAATAATTTTGATTATTATCGTATCGTATTCCTGAGAAAATATTTCAAGCTGACAAAAAACATGGGTCTAGTCATTTATAAACACAATTAAAATATTTTTTTTCTTCTCCTATTCTTGTCAATGTTATTTTTTTTTACCTGTATATTAATTCAGTATCTTGTTCGTTATCGTAATTCGACCAATTAATCATATATTTGTTATATGATAGTGTCATTTTTCTCTTTCTCTCATGTCAATCATTGATTTCATCTTCGCATCTTTTTCATCTCTATTCACTGCATAATTTGATATATTTTTTTTAGAACTTACTATCAGAAACATTAATCAGTCTAGTTCGATCTGTAAGCTAGAAGGGAAAAAAGTAGCCTGCTGACAGCTCGAGACTAGATATAGGTTAGCCTTTAAATTTTAATGTTTTTATTAAAATCCTTGATTTTGATTAAGCAACCTTATTATATTTGAAGCGATCGATCATTATCATTAATCTCAGTTTTATTTACTTTTTTTATGTGAAGTATATTAAAAAAAGTGACATTCGAACCTAGTTTAACATTTAACTCAATAAAATACATCTATTAAAATTATTTTAATACTTAATAAATGTTTTCCAATAATGTACCTTGTTACGAATGATAGTAATTCAGCAAAATATTCAATTCAGGAAATCAATGTGTAAAAATGTACACTTTTTATGATTTCATTTTTGTCAAAATTTTGAGTTCATCTTACTGAGTATTAACATTCACTTTGTACGAGTCCTATAAATATTATGTCTTCAAAAAAGACTGTCCTGTCTCTGCCATTAACACTAACATCCAATATCTCTCTTATGTTTTACATCCACAACCTTGTCTTCATTAATACTTACAGACTCCGTCTATAACCTACATTTGAATATAAATAACTGGCATCTTCAAATAACCTTTTTTTATGAACTATTTTCTGTGAATACATGAAATCTGTTGTCTACAGATACCAATTAATATAAAAACGGTCCTCAATAGAACTTAATTAGTATTCCCAAAAAAACTTATGATCTACTCATTGATATACGATTGAAATATCTTTATACAAATAGATATAAACTCATTTATGAAGAAGCAAATTAAAACATCATTCTAGGAATTTTACTTTGAAAACATAATTTTAAAAAAGTAAAAAAAAACAACGAGTGTGCTCAGTCAGAAAAATTTTACCTATTTTGATAGCTTTTCTAGGTTTTTAACGCTACAACAATATATTTATAGAATTCACAGAAAGGTATTTTAAATTGCTTCTCCATCAATAAATCATATCTATTTGTGTACAAGTGAAGATGTAATGAATGCGATGGATTCGTCCGGATAATATTCTTAAGTATTAATATAAATTTTCTATACGTCTTTTTTTCATTTTTTTTCAGTTGGCTGAGTTTTTTTTTCATTGAAGAAAAGAAAATTATAGTCGGTAATTGACGTCACATCTTACCTTAACATACTTACAGAACGGTGAAATATGTTCGTACAATCAGCGTGATGCTGCAAAAAATAATTATATATAAATATAAAAGAGAATAGTGAAGAAAGAAAGCAGAAAAAGAAAATGGGCATTAGTGGATCTCAAGAAAACAGCGAAAAAAAGCCTGTTGTGCTTATCGTTGGTGGTGGTTATGGTGGTATTCAATGTGCTAAATTGTTAGATAAAAATGGTCAATTCTTTGTTATACTTATTGATCGAAAATCTTATTTTCTTCACAATGTTGCAGCATTACGTGCTTCAGTAGAACAGGATTTTGCTCGAAAAATTATTACTCCATACGATCGATTGCTTACTCATGGTTTGTATATTTTAATTCATAGTCTAAGGTTTAAACATAGATTATTTCAACAAAATAGATATGACCTTAAGAAAGAATTTTCTAAGAAGAAGAAAATAGTCTTTATAGTTTTGTATTGATCTTCTAAGCTATATAAAAAAAAAATGTTATATATGGTTTTTAAAGTCTTATGAAAACTTCTAGCTTCTTTCGATCGACTTTAAACGGTGATTTATAATATACTAATAGTCCTTACAATGAGCTTTAAAAACTAGCATAACTTTTTTTAATCAAAAGAAGAAAGTTGGTTTTTTTTATGCGATTTTTTGCGACATCCTCTAACTGAGGAATATGAACTTGTATTGAATAGAAACTTTATAGGTTTATAACACGAAAGTTAATTTCATATAGATTTCAATTATGTTGAATTGATTGCGCATATTTGAAGGATGTAAATAGAATAGAGACCTCTCCCTCACCGGCATCTACATATAAGGACGTATGACTACAACATTGGCATGATATGTATTCCTTATAATATATACGTTATTTTCTCAAAATTAGTTTTTTCGAGTTTACTGTTTACGCAAACAAACTTTTCTTAATAACAACTCAATATAAAAATGGTAATTTTTTTTTTACACAGCAGATAGTTAGAGTTAGATTGTAATAGAATCTGATTTTTGAATTTCATTTTTTTGATCATACGTTTGAGAATTTTTTGAAAAAAATGTTATTTTTAGAGAACACCCAAAAGGAAATTTGAAAATCAGACTTAGCCCTAAGTGTACTCTCTACAATTTAAAAAACGCTCTGACATATTAGCTCGTATCCTCATTTTGAAAACCTTAGGCATTTTTTGAATGAAAAATAAAAAAGTTTATTTGTGAGGAAATCTCCTTAAGAATAAGAGTGAATTCCTATATTTTCATAAAAAGAAATACATACTTATAATAAAAATCAATCTTTTGAAATATTTATAAAAAATTTCAATTTATAGGTTGTGTTGTACAAGCTGAAGTAATATCAATTTCAAATGATAGTATACAAGTTCATGGACGAAATGAACCAATTTATTTCGATTATTTAATTATAGCTACTGGTTCATCGTATGCTTTTCCTGGTAAAATAGCTGAAACTGATATAACAAAAGCTATAGATCTTTATAATAATATTCAAGAAAAAATTAAACAATCTCAACAAATATTAATTATTGGTGGTGGTGCAGTTGGAGTTGAATTAGCTGGTGAAATAGCTACTGACTTTCCTAATAAAGATGTTACACTTGTACATAGTCAAAAAACATTATTACAACCAAAAATATTTAAAGAAAAACTTTATATAAATTTACAAGAACAACTTGAAAAACTTAATGTTAAAATAATATTAAATGATCGAATTCAATTACCAGATAATCAACATGTAAATTATATTGAAGGAAAACATACATATATAACACAAAATTCTCAAATAAATATTACAGCTGATTTAACATTTTTCTGTACAGGTGCACGTGTTAATAATAGAAGTTTATTAAATAGTCCTTTAAAATCAAAAATAAATCCTCAAACGGGTCGAATTATTGTTAATAATTATTTACAAGTTGATGGTTATGACAATATTTTTGCTATTGGTGATATAAGTGATAAAGAAGATAAATTTGCATTTTTAGCTAATTATCAAGCAGAATATGTTGCTAAAATAATTCCATTGATTGAAAATAAAAAACTTTATCCAAAAGAATATGAAGTTCATGTAAATCCAACTATTTTATTATCTATTGGTCGAAATGGAGGTGTTGGACAATTACCAAATAAGAATGGAATGATTATTGGTTAGTTTGAAAAATAAAAAAACAAACATAAACCAAAAAAATTTTTATATAATTTAATTTTGTTTTTTTCTTATTTATAGGTAAATTAATTTCAAAATATTTGAAATCAAAAGATATGTTTGCATCACGTTATCGATTAGCAATGAATTATTGTTGTCAAAATCAATCAGAAAATCAATCAGCTTATTTAAATAGACTTGATTCAGTTCGATCAGTATTATCTTTTACTGAACAAGATGCTCAAGATTTACTTAGAGGTTTACCAGCTAAAGAACTTGAACTTGATCAAGATTTTATTTAAAAATTTCTTTTATTAGTGTTTTTTTTTTATTACTTTCAAATTAAATAAATGGTTCAAGACAATTTTTAATTGTTGTTTCAAATTTAACTTGGTTTATATGAATACCAAGTTCATTTGATAATTTACTACAATCTAATGCTGCATTGTTAGGTCGTTGAACATTTATATTTGTTCCTATATTTTGATCACGTTCAATATGATCAATAGGTAATTGAAAAAGAGAAGCAATAATTAATGCCATTTGAAATTTTGTATATTTTTCTTTACCAGAAAAATGAAATATACCATGAACTTCTTTTCGATTCTTAAAAAATTGAACAAAATATTTGCTTTATTATGAATAAATAAAAAAGAAAAAAAAAATAAGATAATCATACTTGTAGAATTCGTTGTTCACATAATTGTAAACAAACTTCAGCTACATCACCCATATAAGTTGGATAACGAGTTTGAACACTTAATTATAGATATTTAAAATTGATTTAATTAATTTATAATTATCTATCATACTCATCCATTTTAACTCGAGTGGTAGTATTTTTAATGTTTTTCAATAGAATAGTAGCTGCATTTTCATCTAATGTTTCAACTTCACCATAAAGTAATGGTACACGAAGTATAAGATGCTCTGAATAATAAAAATAATAACTTAAATATTTATATTGATATTTATTTATTACCTTTCGATATTTTTTGTGTTATTAATTCTGCTTCATATTTACTTTTACCATAAGCTTGAAGTGGATTAGGAGTATCATCTTCTTTATATGGTGGATTATTTCCATCAAAAACATAATCAGTTGAAATAAGAATAAAGAATATATTTTCTTTAGCTAAAACATTAATATTTTATTAATTATTTAAATTAAATTTAAAAAGAAAAAACAAAGATCATTATACCAGCTAGTTCAGCTAGAAAACGAGTTACTTCAACATTGAGAAACATTGATTCTGTTAGATTTTTTTCAAATGCATCAGGTTTACGTTCAGCAGCACAATGAATAATTACATCTGGCTACATTAATAAATTATTTTCTTTTTCAAAAAAACAAAAAGAAGTCAACAAAAAAAAAAAATTCTACCTTCACATTTCGAATAATAGAATTTGTTTCATCAAAATTAGTTAGATTACAACGAATTAAATTATTTTTATTTGCTCGACTAAATGCAACTCCTGTATAAGATTACAAAAAAGGTTTTTCATTTCTTTTCGTTTTCGATTTTATTTCATAAAGATATTATTCATTCACCTGTTACATTCCATCCAGCATCGATAAACCGATTTCTTACTTTTCGGCCTAATACACCAGAAGCTCCAGTAATAAGAACAGTTTTATTTATATGACCACTCATATCTAGAAGACAGGACATTCGACAAAAAGAAGAAAGCCGAAAACTAAGTATTTTTGAGACATCAAACAAATCACAGGGTAACGTCAACAATACAAAAAACATAATTAAACATTTAAAACACGAGAAAAACAAAACATGATTTTAAATTATGATAACGTTGGTTTTTCTTCTGCATGAAAAGTTGACTGTGAAATATTGTTAACAATAGCGGAAGATGTTGGTGGAGGAGAGGCAGACGTAGCTGACTAAAAAGTACAAAAAACAAAACAAGTAAATGGAAAAAACAAAAATAAATATTATTTTAATTTACTGCAGTATTAAAAGGTGTCTGCGGATGAAGAGTTATACTTGAATTTGTTGGTTGTCGAACTGGTTGAACATAATTAGCTGGTATTAAACCTGTATGAATACGATCAATTGTACCCAAAAACCAATTAGAACTTGTCGATTGTAAACCTAGAAAATATAATATGAAATTCATATGTTTAATAATTCTTGTGTTCGGAGTCTATTATCTTCAAATAGAGATGTACAAGGTAAGTGCAAGTTAGAAAATTTTTCTTAGATACAACTCAAAAACGATTAATCATTTACAGAACTTCCCTTGCCAGTCACAATGTGAGATACAGAATAATCTTATTGTGTAAGTCTCTATCTTAGATTTTGACATGGAATATGATCTATCAATAAGAAAAATTCTTTCCTTTCGATCTACGCAAGCTCTAGCTTCCTAACAGATTCCGCTCGAGTGTTACGGAAGCTTTCCAGAGGCACCCAATTTCAGCAAATTGACCTTGGTAGACTCCAAAAGAGATCAAGACAGGGGTAATTCATGATGCTAAGTCGAATCGTGATGCTTGTTTTCGCATTCAAAACAACTTGAGACCACTATTTTAGTATTTTCGAAATCTCAAAAATTTCTCCTACATAGTATAAAAATCGAAATTTTGAAAAAGTGGTCTCAAGTTACTTTGAAACTGAAAATAAACATCACCATTCGACTCAGAATGATGAATTACCTCTGTCTTAATACTTTTTAGAGTCTTCCACGGTCAATTTGCTAAAATCAGGTGTCTCCAGAGAAATCTTGTAATGCAAGAGCGAAACATTTTAGGAAGCTAGAACTTGAGTAGATCGAAAAGGAAGAATTTTTTCTATTGATAGATCATATTCAAAACCAAAATTTCCGCAACGACCTCACTTAATTGATAAGCTGTTGACAAATCAGATTTTGGTATACATTGATGGTCTAAGATTTTGTCCCTTGAATGGTAAAAAGTCCAAATTTCTATGCTGTTCCTATCAAAATTTATTCAAAAAACCAATTAGATCCATTGCTGTTTGTGAATGAGAATAGTTTTCATCTCACTAGAATTTGGTATTATGAAGAAAAAAAAAGCGATAGTAAAATGAATTCAAACTAATATGTTCGTGATACACAGTAGACTTGAAATAATTAAAAAGTTCTCAAGGATAACTTTGATATACTCTTGAAATATGGAATTTTCGCTTTTTCTTCTTTGAATTAAATATCCTATTGACTTCGTGTCGAAAACTATTTTCATTCATCAAAACAATTGAAATCAATAATAGTTTCTTTCGACATATTACACTTTGATAGATATTTTTTTTCTTACAATAAAATCCTTACCAAGTGGTGCTAAATAAATAGTTGTTCCTCGTGCAAATGACAATTCATCAGAATTTCTAGCCACATAATCATATAATGCTACAACTCGTGCTTGAGTATTTTCTTGTTCTAACCAACTATTATTAACAGCTAAACAAAACAGAAAAAAAACAATTCTTTTTTTGTTTTTTAAATAAATTTTTTATAAACTTTGTCTTTTTTTAATAATTGAATTAAGAAATTTTAACATTATCATTGGTGTACCCAATGAAACAATAAAAAAAAGAGCAACAAGTAAACTTGATGATGATGATGTTGTTGTTTGTTCATTTAAATTAGTTGTACTTCTTTGTAAACTATTATAAATAGCTGACCATGTTTCTTCTGTATTACCTTGTGTTGTTTGTCTTAAATGAAATAAACGTAATAAACGATGATAAAGATATTTTAAAAATTTCCATATTAAAACAAGTGGATAAATTGTTGTTATTTCATGTCGTATACGTGTAAAATGATCTAATACATCAGTTACAGCACGAAATGATGAATAAACACTTGTAAATGTTGATTCAAGCATTAATGATATTGAACGAAATGTTTGTATTACTGATTCAATTGATGAAAATGCTGAACGAGATTCATCAATAGCTAATTGAGCAAAATTACTAACGGGAATGTTTGATTGTGTACCATAAGGTGAAAAACGATAATTATTATAATAATTTCCTGCTTGATATGGACCCAATGAATAAGGATTTAAATAATTTGTTTGAGGAGGATAAAGACCATATTGTTGTTGAACTGTTCGAGGAGGAGGAGGTGGTACTATACCTTGTGTTCGTCTATAATTGATAATAAAATTTGAAAGAATCAAAAAAACAAATTTTGTTTTAACAGAATACATACGGATTTTCAATTGTTGGTGCAAAGCCATTATTCATAGTATTAAATGAAGTTGGTATTGGTTGATTTGACATTGGTACTGAAGTTTCCCATGGCTTAGGAGCGGCCATCTGAAATTTAAAAAAAATACATAAACAGCTACGATACTCATTTCATGCACTTTAAAAGTATGAAAATGATAACAAATAATTCCGGACCTAGGTTTCTAAGATGAGTCATTGATTGAGTTTTTTTGTTTTTTTTTTGTTCTTTGTTGTAAAAAGAGAATTTATTTTATTTTATTTTATTTGAATAATAGAAAAGAAATTAAATAAAAATTTTTATTTTGTCGAATAGAATTTTATTATTGAAATGACATCTTTAACGAAATAGTATTTCATTGGTTGTTTCTACAATTGTTTTGCGTAGAAAAAAAAAAGAAAAAGAAATAATCAAAAATAATTATAAACAATAGTTGGCTTTTTTAAAGATATGATGTTATATTCGAAATTATTATGGATATTCAATCAAATTATAACAATCATAGATTACAACGTACATCATTGTAAGTATTGGAAATCCATAATTTTGTTATTTTAGTGAAATAAACAATAGAAATTTGATATTTAATCAAAGAATAGTAAAAATAAACAAAATAGGGTATTTTGATTGTTCAAATTTATAGTTTGTGAGAAAAACAAAAAATTATGAATATATTATAAATCACTTTAAATTTTATGCTCTTTAGAGAACTATTTTGTTTTTTTTTTTACATTATGCTGAATATCGGTAAAGTTGAATAAGAGACATTAGTTTTTCAAAGGATGAACTTTGTCTAGATGCTGCTCAAAAACAAAAAATTGAAAATGTAATTTGATTAAGCAAGATAAAGTGAGACTAAAAATAAACTAAACGTCTTTACGTTGAAAATAAGAAAGTAATTTCAAATGATGTACACTCATATTTTCAGTCCTTTCGAACGTTTACTCATAAATTCTTATCTATGAGTTTTTAAAAAAAAATTCTGAGCATATGTTCCTAAAGAGCACGAAATTCGAATTCTAACTTAATGTTTTAAGAATTTTTTTAAAAACTACTAAAAATAGTCTGTCACCAGGATAAAATTGAAGATTTCTTTATATATTCACTTTGCGTTAATTTTAGTACTTTAAAATGGAATATAAATTTTGACCAGCTTCGTAGGTTTAATTCCAAAAACATTGAAGCAAGGGGGAAACAGCGGGCTTAAAGTAGCTCAAAGTAATTTCAAGTCCAAAAGTCCGCTGTTTCCCCCTTGCATTAAAGTCAAACATATTTGACTCCGTCGAGTTATAAAAGCGTCTAATTATGAGAAAATCTGTACCAAGTGTTGTTTTGTGTTCTGTCACTCGTCAGCTTAATACAATGTCTTTTTCTTATGTTTCATACAGATTTTGTAGGACTGCATCTTTTGGACACTTTTCAAAAATTTATGACGTTACAAATATTCAAAATTTTCGTCAAAAATTATGAAAACGCAGAAAATTTCAAAATATTTTTTTCGGAAAGCTTAGCTTCCACAATCTAGTATCTCCAAGTTTGAACTCACTTTCGTCTTTTTTAGTCAGCATAATGCAAGTTAAAATACGGAAAAGTCCGAAAATAATTAAAAAGTTACAATCCACTTTTAGAGATTGTGAAAAAATTAGGCTTCTATCGCTTTCCATTAAAAACGCAACAGATCTTGACATTTGTGCGGATACATATGCATCATAAGTTATTCTCTCGTTTTCATATGCCTTGTATTCTAGAATAAATTTTGTGAAATGATCTCAAAAATTTAATCGAAGGTCATGCAATATACTTAGAACATACTAAAAGTTCTTGCCACGGCGTTTAAAGGATCTTTTTGGATAAAGAGACCTATTGAGAAATGAAAAACCAAATATGACATGTTGTAAAACTTTTTGAGGTGTGACGAATGGTATATAGTAAATCTTGTTTTCATAGGATTTTGACGGGCTTAGAATCAATTTACTGATAGACGACTACATACTCATATCCACACTGACAAGATGACCGGAGATGCTACATATAGAAGGTTGTGGCCCATCAAAAACTCTATAAAATCGTATGTGAGAAAAAATATTTTACAAATACCAAGGACCATAATATTCAGAAACTTATCATGCTTGGGTGTGGATGTGTAATCGTCTCTTAGTAAATTGACTCTAGTTCATTTAAAATCTTATGAAAACAGAATTTACTAGATACCATTGGACGCGCTTCAAAAAGTTCTACAACATAGTATATTTGATTTTTCATTTCTCAATAGATTTCCTTATTCGAAACGATCCTTTAAACGCCATGGCCAGAACTTTTGGTATACTCTATATATAATATAAAATACTCAATGTACTTTTCAAGGTTCCGTAACATGTTACACAAGCTGCTCTTTATGTTTTGCAATCCTTCAAATTATAAAACAATAAAAATTCAGTTCTGATAT